CAAAGGAGATTACTCAAATTTCTCTCACTGAGTAGCTAGTGAATTCCAACTACCTGCCTTTGGGTGGGCAATGTGTCTCCTTACCCAAGGGGCCTCCCTACATACCTCAAGCATATTACTTCAGGGTACAGTGAATTACTTACTAATGCCCTCTGCCCAAAGTCTTTGTGACCCCCACACAATTACTGGGTTTGACAAGGCAAATCCAGTGTTTGTGGCCAACCAGGTAGATTCAATAACCGACTAAAAATGCAAGTAAGTTGCCTAAAACACTTTTGGGGGGATGAGACCATGCTCATAAGCTATTGGGAACCCCCAATAAGGACTGATCAGCTTTGCTATCCCACTACACTTCAAAAACAGCCAATTCCAGAAAGAGCAGGACCTCACTACCACCAAGAAAGAAACAGGAGTGCAGTACAACCTCTCTGTGGATTGAGGCTCCCTGTACTTAGAACCACCTAGATCAAAGAGACAGAGATGGAGAGAAATGGTATGAAGTAATGTGACAGCAGGGAAAGCAGAACCAGAGACTGTAGGGAGACTGATATCTCTCCCCACAGAAAAAGAAAGCTGAGTGCCTCTGGGCTGATTATTGGCTGGCAGAAGTGGGCTGCCTGCATGCATTTGGCAGTTAGGTTGCCAGGACAAAAAGCTACAAGAGCTAAACACCTCACGCTGAGGCTTACTGATAGAATGTGTCTCTATGAGTATTTATCAGTGGAGAAAAAGAGCTTTGTAACACTTACCCATGGAGAGGCAAGGCTGGCTCAAGAAACCAGAGAGACTAAAGGACCAAGGGCTAAGAAGTCATGTACCAGGAAAAGGTTAGAAGTCAAGAAGCTGCATGGATATTTGTATAAAACACTAAGTACACACACAAAATACAATGTATATGAAATATTATATGCAAACCAATTTAAAAAAAAGCAGCTATCCTTACTGAAGGCCTGTATTCTGAGTTATTCCTGACTCAGAATGGTAAATGTTTATCCAATTAATTGTGAGTATTCTCTGTTGAGTTCTGTGTGTGCACTGCAATGAATTTTTTTAACCAAGTAGAGGAGCAGAGGGTACCAGGTGAGGAAGATGGTTTCAGAATTGTACTGCAAATGGACAGACCAGTGCTATACCACTTAGAAGAATGTTTAACCAAAAAAATTAAAACCAGGCCTGAGGGCCATAGATTAAAATCATCCACCTTTGGCTTGGTAGTATCACTTTCTGTCCACTAGGCCAACAGAGCTCTATGTTGTTGTTAAGTGCCATCAAGCCGTAGACGATTCATAGTGACCCTATGAATGAAAGACTTGAACACTTGTATAAATTTCATCGTTTCTCCAAGTTCATAGAGTTTCTGGAGGCAAGCTATTTCAGAAGTGGATGCCACTACTGCTTCCAAGATTTTAATCAGGGAGCTCCACCAAACACTGTCCACCATGGGTAACAATTATCACATGTGACACATCAGTATCACAGCGTATACTAGAGTTCATTATTCTGTTCTCTATGCCAATCTATCTTGTTGAGGGTCTTCCTCTCTTTCTCTGTTCCTCCATTTTTCCTCCGATTTTCCAAGGACTGGTGCCTCTTGACAACATGTTCAAAGTATGTGAGACAAAATTTCACCATCCAGAGCTCTACAAAGCATTCTGATGGAATGATCTCCAAGATAAATTTATTTGTTCTTCTGGTAATCCATACTCTTCTCTGACACAATTCAAAAACTGATTTTTCTTTGGTCTTCCTTATTCATTATCAAATGTTCAGATCTGTAGAAAGCAACTGAAAAATGTCTTAGATCAGGCACACTTTAGTCTTTAAACTGATACCCTTGTTCTTCAGGACTGTAAAGAGTTCCCCTTGACAGATTTTCCTGATGTAAGGTATATTTTGCTTTCCTCACTCAAAACCATGAGTGTTACCATGATGTTAACTATGGATCCAAGTAAAAAGAAATCATTGACAATTTCAACCCTTGCGCCACATATCATGTTGCCTACTGGTAGAGTGGCAAGAATTTTTATTTTCTTGATGTTGAGGTGTAGTCCATGTTGAAGGTTGTAGTCTCTGATCTTCTTCAATAAGTGCTTCCAGTATTCACTTTTTGCAAACATGATTGTATCATCTGCATAACGCATGTTGATGATTCCTCCTCCGATACTAATGCTGAACAGAGAATACTCACAATTAATTGGATAAACATTTACCATTATGAGTCAGGAATAACTCAGGATACAGGCCTTCAGTAAGGACAGCTGCTTTTTTAAAAAATTGGTTTGCATATAATAATTTGTATACATTGTATTTTGTGCATGTATTTAGTGTTTTATACAAATATCCATTAGTCTTCATACAGTCCCGTTTTTGACGTTACTTGCTCAGCTTACAGATTGAATAGGTATGAAAAAAGGACATAACCTTGATGTACATCTTTCCTGATTTGAAACCATACACTTTTCCCTTATTCTGTTTGGAAAATTGCTTCATGGTCTAAGTAAAGGTTTCGCATAAACACAATTAAGTGGCTGGGATGCCAGCTCTTCTCAATGTTATCCAAGATTTTGATCCACATAGTCAAATACTTTTATATCATCAGTAATACATAAGTAAACATCTTTTTGATACTCTGTGCTTTCAGCCAAGATCCCTCTGACATCAGTAAGCATATCCTTAGTTCTACAACCTGAATTCAGCTTGATTTTTCCTGCAGTGTCCTATTGATATACTGTTCCAGTCATTTTTTTAATGAGTAAGATTTTACATGCATGTGATATTAACGATCAAAACTCCATTCATTCCCACCAAGTACGAACCAATTCATAGCTTATTCTTTAGTGTATTCCCAGAAGTTGTAAACCACAAAGAGGAAGACTGGCAGTCTCTGTCCCATGAAGCAGCTGTTGGACCTGAATAACTTGCCTTTGTGTTGGTCGTAGAATTCCTTACTCATCAGGCCACTAAAGCTCCAGATATTAATGATATCTTTTCAAGTAGCTAGTTGTCTTCCAAATCTATTGGCCCATGCCAGAGAATTTGGATGACAGTTTTCTATAGGGTATAAGATAAAAAGAGGGTGGTGGTGGAGGTGGTTTGCTTACCTAGAATTTTTTAAATTAGGGTATAAATCACATGTCTGTAATGTTAAAATGCATATCTGTAAAACTTTTTCCAGTAAGATTCAGCCTTTTTTAATAAAACCTTGGAATTACAGCCATTATATATCTCTGCCTCATGCCAGTCCATCTCATCTCACCAATGCCTAGTATGTCAATATTTATGTGTTCCATTTCTTCCTTAACAATATCTAATTTTCCTACATTCATGGTTCTCACATTCTATGTCCTAATCACCAGTGTCTGCTTATAACTGTTCCTCTTCCTTTTTTTTTCCATACTTGAAAACTCAACTTCCTTTGCCTTTTGTTGTTCTTTTCAGAGGCCTGCTATTTCAGAAGTGGATGGCCAATCATTCTTCCTAGTCTGTCTTAATGTGAATGTTCAGATTTAGAGAAGTATCAGACAGACCAGCAAGTTAAAGGTATATCCCTTATTGTGGAGTTAACCTTTAGTGTCAGTGTTGTCCCTGCCTTTCTCACATGCATCTTTACCCACATTGCCATGGGAAAATCTGCTGTTAGGGACCTCTCCAAAGTACTGAAGAGCAATGATGTCTCTCTGGAGACTAAGGTGCGTCTGATTCAGGCCATGGTCTTTGCAATCACTTGTTATGCATCAGAGAGTTGGACAATGACCAAGGAGGATAGAAGGAGAATTAATGCCTTTGAGCTGTGGTGCTGGACAGTATTGAGAATACCATGGACTGCTAGGAAAACAAACAGATTTGTCCTGGAAAGGGTTAAACCAGGTGGCTCCTTGGAGGCAAGGATTCTGAGGCTCTGTCTAACATACTTTGGACATGTTGTGAGGAGAGACCAGTCCTTGGAGAAGGACATCATGCTTGGGAGGGTGGAGGGACAGCGCTGGAGGGGAAGGCCCTCTATGAGGTGGATTGATTCAGTGTCTGGGATAATTGGAATGGGAGTGTCAGAGAAAGTGCGATTGGCACAGGACAGAGCAGAGTTTAGGGCTGTTGTACACAGGGTCGCTATGAGTCGCAAGCGACTTGATGGCACATAACAACAGCAACATATATCTCTGTGTAACATGCTATAAAGCCTCATATGCACATAAGAATTAAATATGAATCTTTAGTCATACATTGTTTCAAGGTTGATAATATTTACACTCCATAGATTAGTGAAAATTACATAAACGGTTAATTTAATCCAACTTTCAATATCTTCCCATGCCAAATATCAAAAACAATACAAAAAGGTTTCATAACTAGGTATTTCTGTCATCACAGGAGACTAGAGCGAGGGCTACATGGTAGAGGGGACCTGGGGGAGGGTTTGTAAAACAATGAAAGAATCTTTTCTTTTACTTTTCCATAATTTTTGGACTCATGTACTTATAACTTGTTAGTCAAATTTGTGTCTTCTAGGTTGCAACACCCCCATGATACATCTTCAAGGATATGAACATGTACGGCCAAGCACAATCAATAAGAGTGCATCTAAATTCCAAAATCAATCTCCATAATAGTCTATGTGTTTCCTACTGCCAAAGGGGCCCTTTAGAGTAGTGAGAGAAGATCTTCACCCTGAAACCCACAGTGTCCCTTTTCAGCAGGAAGTAGCTAAGAGAACACGCCATCCCCTTTTCCTTATGACTCAGGGTGAAGTCTCTCTCAGGGAGGAGTGATAGGGAATGGCAAAGGACACACTGACAAAGAAGATTAATCAGAACTGGCTTTGACAAGCACTGTGGCATTTGGACAAGAACAAACTGGGAGGAGGGTAGAGAGAATAGTGCAACAATGAATGAATGGAAACCCAAAATCTCTGTAAATGTTTATGAAAATTAATAAAATATAGGAAAAAAAGTTTCAATTTACTATGTAAAGGACACTGTATTCTCAAATGTTAAGTGCTTTACCTTTGCAGCAAACTGTAGTCCAATTTTGTCAGCCTCAACCTCCAATGTTCTATTGTACGGTCTATTAAACATAAACTAAGACAAAACAGGAAAGAAAAGTTTCATTAAGGCAATTTATTTTGTAAGAAAGGGATAGCTAAATGAGATTTTTTTTTCTATTTCATGGAGATCTAGATAAAGTTTTTCTATTTTCTATGATTAACATTTGAAAACATTATAGCATCAAGTACAGCTTTTATTTTGTCCAGAAAAAATTAATACTTTCAGAAGACAAAAAGAACAGAAAGATACATGCTTATACATTCAGCAATATCATAAATACAATGTTATACTAGTTGACTGAGTTATGACACAAACTATACTTGTTTCTTTCTCTTCAATCACATGTTTTTAAGTCAGTATATTTTCATTAAGGGAGCTCTGGTGGCCTAGTGGTAAGGAGTTGTGCTGCCAACCCAAGGGCAGGTGGTTCAAATCCACTAACTGCTACATGAGAGAAAGGACAATCTCTTCCCTTGCAAATTACAGCCTCTGAAAACCTGCTGGAGGGCCAGCTAGGAGTCAATTCTGACTCAAAAGTACAAAACAAAAACATCATCCACTGACTTGTAAGCTGTTTGTGGAGAGTTCTTCTAATTACAATCTTTGTCTATTATATAGAGGTTTCTCTAAGAAATTTTTCTGATGAAAGCTTGTAATACAGGCAAGGAGCACTCTGAGCTTGTAGGGGTTTTTTTTTTGGTGGGGGGGCTTGTAGTTTTTAAAAAAACCTGAAACACAGAGATACGTAACAGTCACTGACACTACTGGAGGATTTATTTTAGCTAAAAAATGAACTACAGAGCTGAATACTATTTCTTTGATAAATTATCTTCATTTCCTTTTTTCCCCTACTAAATATTGATTAGTTAGGAAAATTAAATTTTCTTCTGACTTTGATGAAAAAAATACAAATAGATATAATAACTTTAATTTTCCTAATTACTTCTTTTATGTTACTGCTTTCCGGTTAAATTCTAATTTTCAGTAAGTACTAAAAATTTTGTAGGAGATAGGATCTATAAGCAGAACTGTTGAGGAAGAGCTTTTAATTAGGAAAGCAATTTTTCAGAGGTAGCCATGTAAGTAATGGCCAGAAATAATGTAATCACTCTGACGACCATTAGATATTACCTTTATCCTTCTTAATCATATCTGGCTTAGGTTGGTGGAATTTATTATATAGTATCTGAACTTCTATGAGCAGTTTTTAGGTGGCACATCAAGTCTACTGATTATATACTGACTTCCAGTCAGTTGGCCTGGTAGACATTTTCCCTATTTGTTGGCAGAGACTGGTCAGCACATCCATAGTTAGATCTCTTTCCTGAAGCATTTCAGAAAGCATTCTATCAATTCTTGGGGCCTTTTTTTTTTCAATCCCTTTCAGTACAGGTTAGACTTTTTCCTTCAGAATTATTGGATCTTGACCATACACTGCTTCCTTAAATAATTCGGTATTGACCAATTCTCTGTATATTCCTTCCATCTTCTCTTGATGCTTCTGGGATCATTAAAGATTGTGTGAAACACAAAGTATATGAACTTTGTCTAAAAGCAATATAAAATAAAGATGTTTAAGAAGATTTTTCCCATAGACTGATGCAGTGTCACAACTTAAGGGTTGAGTTCTTCAGTTCTTTCAGCTTCAGAAACGCTGAGTGTGTTCTTCCTTTTTGGTTTTCTAACTCCAACTCCCTGCACATTTCATTATAATAACTGGCTTTGTCTTCTTGAGCGGCCCCTTGAAATCTTTTGTTCAGTTCTCTGACCTCTTCATTCCTCCCGTTTCAGTTCTTTTTGTTCCTGTGCACGTTTCACAGTATGTTCTGCGGTCTATTTTGCTTTTGTTCTTAATGTCATTCCACTAATGTCAGTCATTAGTGATCAATATATCAAATCTATTCTTAAGATGGTTTGCAAATTCAGTTGGGATACACTCAAGGTCATATTTTAGCTCTTGTGGAGCTGTTTTCATTTTCTTCGACTTCATTTTGCATATGAGTAGTTGATGGTCTGCTCCACAATCAGCACTTGGCCTGGATTTGACTGATAATGTTGAGCTTTTCCACTGTCTCTTTCCACAGATAGAGCCAATCTGATTCCTGTGTAATCTATCAGATGAAGTCCATGTGTATAGCTGCAGCTTATGTGTTCTTTTTAAAAAAGTATTTGCAATGACTAAATCATTCATTGTATCATATTCTAGTATTTGATTTCCAGCCTCATTTCCATCACTTAGACCATATTTTTCAACTTCCAGACCTTTTGCTTTTTCCCAACTTTTGCCTTCCAGTCACCAATTGCTATTAATGCATCTTGATTTCATGTTCAAGCAATTTCCAACTGCAAATATTGATAAAATCTTCAACTTTATCTTTGGCTTTTGGGGTTGGTGAGCAAATCTGAATAATAGCTGTATTAACAGAATGTCCTTGTAAGTCTATGGATAATATCCTACCACTCAGAGGAATGAACTTCAGGATGCTCTTTTGAAACTGGTAGCATGAATTTTTAAAAGGAGTCAACTACTAGACTGCCTTATAAAGTGAATCAGTTGTTATGCTACTGTGAGTAATGTGCCTCCTTTTAACAGCTACCCCAAACGAAAATGAGATAGAATGGAGGGACAAGGAAATTAGATCAGTGGAAAAAGAATCAAAATAGTGAAAAGGCTGACATGCTATGAAAACTGTCACTGATGTCATAGAAAAATCTGTATCAAACTGTTAAACAAGAAGCAACCTAATTCACTATATTTTTTACTTGAAACACACATACGCGAGCGCGCACGCACATACACACACACACACAATTAATAAAAACTCATGTTCCAGTCCAAATACTAACACCTATCTGTTAATCTTATTAATTGAGCTAATTTCTTAAACTAAGAAGGTCAGGTAGCCTCACAAGTCATCTCCTAGGTTTGCAAAGACGATTAAATGAGGAAACAACAAGAACTCATTACCTATTTTGTGCAAGACAGCGTGCTAAGTACTTTAAATTAGCAATTCTTAATCAGGTAGGATTTTAGCCCTCATAAGACAGAAACATCAGGAGAAATTTTTAATTGTCACAACTGGGAAAGAGGATGTTATCACATGTCATGGGTAATTACTGTTATTTTTAGGTGTCATTACAGTGATCTTATGTATAACCCATACATGTTGGTGGTGGTGGTGTTGTCATGTGCCATTAAGTCACCTGTGACTCATATCGACTCTATGTACAACAGCCCTAAACCCTGCTCTATCCCTTGCCAATCTTATTGTCTCCAACACACCTAAACCGACTACTCCCGTCACTCAACCAATCCATTGCATTGAGGGTCTTCTTCTCTTGCGCTGTCCATCTACTCTCCCAAGCATGACATCACTCTCCAAGGACTGATCTCACCCTGCAACATGTCCAAAATACGTCAGACAAAGCTTCAGAATCCTTGCCTCAAAGGAGCCGCCTGGCTTCACACTCTCCAGGGTGAACTAGTGTGTTCTCCTAGCAGTCCACGGTATGTTTAATACTCTTCTGCAGCTCCACAGCTCAAAGGCATCAATTCTCCTCCTATCATCCCTAGTCATTCTCTAGCTCTCTGATGCATAGCAAGTAATTACAAAGACCATGGCCTGGATCAGGCACATCTTAGTCTCTAGACTCACAATGTTGATCCTCAGTACTCTGGAGAGGTCTCTGACAGCAGACTTTCCCAACACACTTCGTTTTTTAATTTCCTGGCTGCTGATACCAAAGAGTATTGATTGTAGAGACAACCAAATTGAAACTGTTAACAATCTCAATCTTTTCACCCTCTATCATGATGCTGCCAATTAGCCCACTGGTGGAAATCTTTGTTTTCTTGATGTTGAGCTTCAACACATACTGAACATTGCAGTCCTTGACCTTCTGCAGCAAGCGTTTCAGGTCCTCCTCAGTTTCAGCAAGCAGGGTTGTGTTATCTGCATAATGCAGATTGTTGATGAGTCTACCTCCAATCTTGATGCAACACTTCTCCTCATAGAGCCCAACCTCCCTGATAATCTGTTCTGCATACAGATTGAAAAGATATAGAGATAGGACACATCCTTGATGCACACCTTCCCCAATTTTGAACCATGTAGTGTTTCCTTGTTCTGTTCTGACTGCTTCCTGATCCAAGGATAGGTTTCACATAAGCACAGTCAAGTGTTCTGGGATTCCCATTCTTCTCAGAGTCAGCCACAGTTTGTTGTAATCTATACAGTCAAATGCCTTTGCATAGTCAATGAAACACAGATGGACATTCCTCTGGTACTCTCTGCTTTCAGCCATGATCCATCTGACATTAGCTATAATATCCCTAGTGCCATGGCCTCTTCTAAATCCAGATTGCACTTCAGGCAGTTCTCTGTTTATGTGCTATTTCAGTTGTTTTTGGATAATTTTCAGCAGAATTTTGCTTGCATGTGATATCATTGATACTGTTCGATAACTGTACGCAGTTCAAATTCACCAGCTGTTCAGCAGGAGAAAAATGGACAATCTCTTCCCATATAATTTACTGTCTCTGAAAGCCCGCAGGAGGGTCAACTATAGGTCAGTTCCAACTTGATGGTACTTAGCAACTACCCGTGTAACAGAGCGAGAGCTGGTGGCCGCCTGATTAAGGAATTATGCTACCAACACAAAGACATACAGTTTGAATCCACCGGCCATTCTTTGGGAGAAAGATGGGTAATCTCTTCCCATGCAATTTACAACCTCTGAAAACCCATCAAAGGTTCACCTATGAGATGGGTTCCAACTTGAAGGTACATTAGTAACAACAGTGTATAAAAAAGAATGAAACAGTGCCTGGTCCTGTATCATCATCACAATCATCACTCTGTCTGAGGGCCCTGTTGTAAGCACTATGTTAATGCATCTCACTGATGATCTTATACTTTTTTACTGACTTTCTTCTTCAGAAAGTGTTATGTCCTTCTCCATGCACAGGTCCCTCCTGGTAACTGTTCAAAGTATGTGAGATGAGATCTCTTTATCCTCACTTCTAAAAAACA